TGTGAGGTGGCGTTGCTTGTGGTGTTCACTAGATGGTTGGACGGACGGTTACACGGACGGACGGACTGACGGACGGGCGAACGGACGGACGGACGGACGGACGGACGGACGGACGGACGGACGGACGGACGGACGGACGGACGGACGGACAGACAGACAGGCTATAGAAGGGCAGTCAAACGCATGTGGCCTTATTGGACGCTCAGGCCGCAGAAATAGTAGCGCGTCAATGTTCGCTTTTGTCAATATACTAGTATATCGCAAACAATGGCGAACATATGGACTATCGGGCTGTTTTCACTCTCTAAATAAGCGGCACACACACAGCCTAGACGTCCATCTGCTTGTATGTCCGTCCGTCAATCTGGTGAACACTCGAAGTACCGCCATCGCATCATTTCATCATATATTCATAATATACAAGTACACTCATTCAACAGAGATTCCAAGGACTAAACGATAGGTTGCTACTACTACTACTACTACTCCTACTACTGCTACACACATCGGGGACGCACGACCCACACGGCTTAAGGAGCTTCGCCCCTAAAATAAAGCAGTTCGCAGAGGGAAGGATTGCCACGAATCATCAAAGCTCGAGCCATAATTAGCGAACTTGGCCATTCAGTGAGACGCGAACGACGTCAGCCTCTCAGGAAGCCAAATCAGCGGAAGGCCTGCCATTGACAAAAACATAGTGAAGGCGACCGAGAATGACGTTATGGTACCCGTTGCGCATGCATTACTAAAGCGAAAGTTCTAGTTGACAATAAAGTCAATTATTGACAATATAGACGGCCTACGAAGAAAGGAGTAAGGAGGAGCAATGTTAGCGCTATTATTCGACAGATTTATTGCAACACGGTACGCAGGCTACATAATTTTTTTCTCGCGCAAAGTGCCCCATGACATACCTTCATGCATCATATCTGCGTCAACGCACTTTTAAATAAAAAATGACTTCCGACAGGAAAGAGGCAAATAGATGTGTCGCTGATTATCCCCGTTTCCTGATATAAAAAATCACCGATGACTTGATTAGGGACCATAGTTTTATGCTAAATACAAAGTAAGAATCGACTAGTTCAACTGCGAGTACTTCTCCGCGAAAGTCTTACGCATCTCAAGAGACGAAAAATCTGGCATCCGGCGTTAATGACAACGTGGACGGGACCAAACTTACGTCATTCTACCGTCGCATAATGTCTCCGCTTTGACAAAGGTAGGCCGATCCTTTAAATTCAGTAAGGAAGAAGGAGAGGGGGGGGGGTCACTGAAAAGTACAACGGCTCTTGTGCATCCTCTTGTTGGCTCGCTTACTATAGCAGTACATTCGGCTGGTTACTCTCACCATCTCCGACGCGCGCTTGTATTCAATTGACTTTTTTGAAACTTCGTTTACCATCCGGGTTCTCACGACGCGATGTAACTTTGCTGTGTGGCATGTGGTTCGGTGTGGCATTTACGAATGCACGTTCGTATCTCAATGAAATAGCCAGAAGTGCGGCAAGGAACTTAAACGCCTGCGAGAAGACGCTTGAGCACTGCCCATCCTACCAGACTCAGTTACGTAGTCCGGAAGCCAAGTTCCATCATCTGGATTAAAGACCACCTTCAGAAAAGAAGATTCAAAAAGCTCTGTTGTGCTTTTTGAAGACTGCTGGACTTTCGAGTGTGTGTGAACTGCCACAGCGAGTTCACGTCTTGTGTGTTTCCCTAACTGCTCATCCTTATCTTACTCTTGTTTTTTCTTCTTTATCCATTCTTATCCTTCCTTTTTTCGCCAACTCCATGTTTAGGGTAGCACACCGAGCCAAGGCTTGGTTAATCTTCCTGTCTTTCCTCTTCGTTTGTCTCCCTCCAACCAAGATTGAGACGATGCGGATTGTGACCTAGATAGAAGCCAGATGGAGCGTGTAAAGCCACCAGACACAACAATTGGATGTCGTAAGTGGAAACGCGAACGCTTTAGTCCCAAACACGGTTGGCGAGCGACACGTCGTGGAGGTGTTATTTGCTTTTCAGTGTAAAGCGTGCGCGTTCGGGGTGCGGACGCCTTATAGGCAGTTAAAGCTTCAGTCAAGCACATGAACTCCTCCCACCAGATCGCATTCACATTTTCAAGTCATAGTTATGAAAGCACCTGTAAACGGGAGTGCCTCGCGCGGCGTCCCTAAAGAATCAAGCGGATGTGTTCACAGTCCTTAGTTTCGGATAGCCGAACGTACTGCTAGTGATGAATGTATTTGGGTACATGAACTTCTGTATTTACAAGCGTGTATTGCGCAAGATCGACCACCCTTGTGCTTGCTGTCTCCGTAAACGCTACCATGAGTGCAGGTCGTCGGATCGCCGGCAACGCTCTCATGCAAAAGACGTCTTCAGAACACAGGACCACTCGGGGTGCCAACAAAATGTGTGGTAGGTCTGTTTTTTGGTGCTTTGACTTTGTTCAGCTTTGCATTGTCCCTCCATGTGAATGATGAAGAGATGCGCAAATTGTTGAAATCGCATTATTGTTTATAAAACAACCGACTTGAAAAGAAGTGACATTCCAGTACTGTTACCAACTACAAACCACGAGTGACATAGGTTTTTAACGACTGATGTTGACTTTGAAGTGTATCGTAAACAACAAACAGAAGCTGAAGTAAACTATAGAGTGGTTATAGGTGGAATAGTTCTTAAAGGGATCCTTGCAGACACGAAAAAGAGTGGCAAAAAATTATCCGTGATTACCCGCAATCATAACATCAAATGCCAGCCCTAGCACCTAATGGGAAACCACAATAACATATACTCAGCGCTATACAAAGACTTGCCTCGAACTATGCTACATATCTCTGTCGCAAGCCGCAGACTGTCGTTGTTCTAACCAGCAGGTGTACGCGGAGGATTTCATTTCCCGCTCACTGACGGCATTAATCAATGCACGAAGCCCGCCTTTAACTATTCGCTTGAGCATTCTACGGCAGCTCGGCCACTTTAAGAAACGGAAGACGTTTTCCGTGGAGGGCGCCGCTTAGCGCACTTCATACCGTGGTTGTATTGCGTCAATCGACATGCGTCACAATTGCGCATCACTGCGTCATCGATGAGGGGATGAAACACTCGGCAGTTTCCTTTCAAGTTTGCAAACGACATTGAGACAAATGTAAACGTTGAAGTACTATTGCCCTAAGGCGATGCGTGCGTCATAGAGTAATGTGCCTTACGCACGTTGTTGGCGTAGATTCATCTGAACATGTCTTGCCCAACAAATAGGCGAGACTCTGACTACTAATTAATTTACCTACGCTCTAATATAGCACGCCACTGCAAAAGAAAAGACAATCCTTTCCGGGTTGATTTCTCGTGTGAAATTCAGCGAGATAAAACCAATTATGAAGAATTTGAGGCCGCTGACCAAGTCGAGGTGAACGACAAGCGAGAGACGCTGTGGTACGAGTGCGGGTTCCTCGATCTCAATAATGCAGGAAAAAGCTGAAGTTAAGTAGCTTTTTACGTACCTTTTTAAGTAAGATTTCACGTAGTGAAACGTCGTTACCTGGCAGAATGGCATCAGACCTGTCGATAGTGCCGTCCGTCGATTGAATGAATAAGGAGCGCGAAAGTTTCGCCTTTCAGTTCTTCTCCTTAGCGATTGTAGTGGCGTTATTCCAACCGTTTTCCTTGTCATCATGTTACCTGACCAGCTCATTTCGAGCGAATTGTTCATAACAAATAAAACTAATGCTCAAGTCACGCTTCCTCCATAAAAACGGCTTCCCGGCCGAGTTGGAAGCGTTTTAGGCGTGGCATTCTGCAGTCAATGAACCACGCTGACCAATTCGCTAATGCCACACTGTTTGTTGAGCAGTTCAGTTTTCATTGACGGTCTCACCTTTGGCGACACTTCATCTTTGAAATGTCTATAGGCAGGCCATGTTTCTTCAGACAAGAGCACTGACGTGTAATTAATGTTCGAAGAAACAAGCGATAGTTATTGTATATATACAATGACGGCGAGGTCTTGCCAAGTCTTAGTACGGGATGGAGTAAGCTCATATTTAAAACACGTGTACCTTCTGCCTTGAAACCTGTGATTGTAATGTGTAAATGGCAGTGCATTTTCGTAACTATCAGTGTGGTAATGATTCTCATTTTTCAATGACTGCGCGCACGACCTTGACAATATGGCGGGTAATTACAGCAAGAAATATGGCAGTAAGACAACGTTCTTGTAAAATGTGTGATCGAATGCATTGACTTGAAGCACTTAGAACGGCGACGGGATTGAGGTTGAACCGTAGAAGCTCCCGAAGCGGAGCCACGTTTAATACTAAGGATTTCCTGAACCGCGGCAGATGAGGCAGTCGCTCCCGTGCACCACGCCTAGGACTACTCAAAGTGTACATAGAGTAATGACTTAAATATTGCAGTTATGCGCGAAATAATATTCACGAACAAGTATATTTAGATACAGTTATAACAAAAATTTCGCGTGCCAAACAATTGCCTAAAGACATCATGTTCTACTGCAACTGCTGTACTGTGTCTATCCCGATTCTTCGTTGAGCAGAACAAACTGCACGTTGGTACAAACACTAACGGAACTTAGACCTTTGAGTGTCACGTTCGTGTTTTTTTTCTTTACTGTTGTCCAAACCAGTCTACTTTCTTATCTTTTCCCCCTCTTTCTCCCCTCCTATCTTCCTCTGCTCTCTCTCTTCCCTCCTCCAGAAGAAAGCAGGTAAGCATTGTATATTCCAGGTGGCACTCGTCAGCCTTGCACTCTCACAATTATCCATGTCCTGGTGTGTTTTCGCGCACACATCAAATAATACTAACAACAACACTTCGACGCAACAGAACGTTTAGTTTGCGGTACTGGGAACTAAGCCTGGGTTGTTTGCCAAATGTCGAATTCGGGTGAGCGGGGCACAGCGAGCGCAAAGGCTGCTGCGAGGCTGGTTGACAGAAAGGCTCCTTTGTGTTTTAGGCGACAAACGTATACTCACATGCGTCGAGCAGAATGGGTCGCCGGTAATGTCATCGACGCAGTTTCCGCCCCACTGCTTGGGTAGCTGGTCGGCGTCCACGTACTTCAGGATGGCTTCCTTCCAGTTGTCGCCTGCGCGCCGCCGCCACAAACACGCACTCTTAGTCGCTGCAACATCGTAAGTGCTGGATCGTACAAGTGGTTTGAGTGTGGCGAGAAACGCTCGCTCGCTTTATACGATGTAAGTGGCACAGAAGGAACAAAAGAAGAGCTCTGGCGAGTCCACGTTACAAGAGTTGTCGCGTGTACGCGCGCTCTTAGGCACTCAAGAACGAACGTATCCTGCAGCACTAACGCATTTCGTGCTCCCGAGAACGACGCTCGGGCGAATGCAGAGAGTATGTTCGCGCAGAGAGAATGCAGAGGCTTGTTAGTCTGGCACCGACGGCCAGGATAACAGCACATATATATACCAAAAACAGAATCGTTACCACCAATTGTAGATATGAGCACATATTTCCAGATGTAACTCAGTCACGATGGTGCTCGATTTACTTCAAGGCCACCTGTTCCTCCTTGTCTCGGTTATCGTACTCTGCTCTCATTTCAAGATGAAAACATTCAGACAGAGAGTTATATAAAACCTATGAAAAGCAGAGAAGCTAACCAGACGCACGTCCACTTTGCTACCCTGCATTGAGGAAGGGAGAAAGGAGAAAGAAGGCTGAAAGAAGAAAAAAGAGGGATTGATAGAAAAAAAATCAGCCTTTGTTTCTTTTCTTTATTGTCACTCTTTGTTAATGAATACAGTCGTCATAGACATTACTAATGTACTTGGTAATAGTTTGATATTCCAAATTGCCACTTGCCTTTTCCGAGGACATGGACTTTCGTAAGCGTGTTTCCTGTCAGCAGGGGCTTGATAAGGTTGAACAGAACGGAGAACAGAGATGGAACTGAAAAAAGGGAGAAAAAAAAAGAAAAAAAGAAATAAGAGGTCTGTTCGGACATTGTCAACCGGACACAGACGCTGAACTAACACGCAGTCTTGTAATCTGCAATATAATGATCAGTGAAATAGGCTTAAGAAGCATGAAATAAGGGCGCCTAATGCCTATATTTGCGCTCCCTGACAAGAACATGCCACCTTGGCAAAACAGTGAGCAAAACTACAGCTTACGTTGTTCGCCACGGCTAAGCATTACGTCGTCGGTCTTCGGTGTTGCCGCACCCTACACTGCGCATCTTTTATACGCATGACCCAGTTAGGCGGTGCAGCACAGTAACTACACGGAAGGGCGTCTATACATGCTGCAGAGTCCGCTTCTGCTCCATAACTCGCACCGACAATTGCTGATCCAATTAAGTTACCGTCATCTGCACACTCACGCAGAATTGCTAGTTCTGATATGCTTTGCCGAACTTAATATTAATACTATCATACTCAATCCAATTTCATTTAAGCCTCTTTGACTTAATCTAACGCGTTAAGCCTTCCGTCAATGATTAGTAGAGAGAGAGAGAGAATAAAATGAGGGAAATGCAGGGAGGTTAACCAGAAATTGGAGCATACGGCTTGATACCCTGCACTAAGGGAAGAGAGAATTGAGAAGAAAGGTGGGAAAGAAAGCGATGAACAAAATAGACGCGCGAAAATGAAAAAGAAAACTTCATCTGGGGTGCTATAGCCTATACAATAGTCAACTACCACGCAAAAAGTTCAATAAGGCCTTGACCGATTTTCTGTGCGAAGACAGATCATGTCGCCGTTAAAGCAGTGATTGTTCTGACAGAGGTCTGTCGTCAAGGCGAGCTAACGCAGCAGCTATAGCTGCCATCTTTGCACGCTATAAACAGGGCAGTGAGAGAGAACGTGCTCTATCGTTTCATCGCTGCCGCAACGATCGCAAGCGCACCACTGTCTTCTGGAAGCGTCAAGCCAAACGCATCGTTTGGCTTGAATCAGCCAAAGCAGGCCAGTCCTGGTATCGGCCGGTCCTCCGAAGGAAAACAACTTAGAAGGGTCGAGTGCTAATGAGCGCGTTCTGTTTCCTGCTATGTGCATATATATAGATATTCATCTCAGGTTATAGAAAACATCACGGCATCACGTCAAACGACGGGCCTTGCACTTACTGCCTCAGCAGACACTGCGAATGTTTTGCCTTCCACGTGTGGCATGGTTTCTACGCACCAACTCGCGTGGCTGCCCTTTCCGCTTATGGTTAGAGTCATGATTAAAAAATAAACAGCGTCTGCAGAAGTATCAAATACAAACGACGCGTATACTACGCCGACAACAGTGAGGTTGTTGAGGGAGTTCCCGCGCCCTCCACAATTCCTACAGCGGGATGTATTCCCAAATCTGTCAATGATTATTTGCAAATCTGACATATTTTCATACGACTTGCAATGACGGCGATTAGTACTTCTTTACTCTTTATTCAGTTAATGCTGAACCAATATACTTATCATTGTTTACATGCCGAAGCCATGAGTCATTGCAACAGAGGAGTGTTGCAACGTTTGCCTGTATTGAGCACATTTATTTGTTACACATTTCGTACATATTAAAAAGCTAGGCGATGTATACCCAGAACATAAATATTAAGCTACACAATAATGCCCGCGTCAGGCGGGCAAGTTAAGTGCACCTACGGGGAGAAGCACGTTTCGGAATCGGGGGGTTACGCGTTACGGTACGCGGAGGTAAACCGAAAGAACCATAGCGCATTTGTAGTAAACAAGATATGGCGACAGACTTCCAGCGAATTATTCGTATGTTCTCGAAGTGGACGGACTGCGTTCCCGCGCATGCATTCCGATGCAACCGGAGCACATGCACATGTACTCCTATGCGAGTGACACTCCACTCGGGTCGTTTAGAGTTCGTAAATCGCACTTCAAAAAGAGTGCATAAATTCCCCGTCGGTAACCTTGATTCGCCCGCTTCATGCGAGTGCTAGAGTGCTAGTCGATGTGGTGCACTTTCTTCGCTTTATTGTAGTTTATTCAAACGCTTCGCTACGTCCGAGCGGAATACTTTCGCACTCGTCACTTCTTCTTCTTCTTCTTCTTCTTCTTCTAATAATAATAATAATAATAATAATAATAATAATAATAATAATAATAATAATAATAATAATAATAATAATAATAATAATAATAATAATAATAATAATAATAATAAACTGAGGTTTTACGTCCCAAAACCAGGTATATGATTATGAGGGACGCCGCAATGGAGGGCTCCGGAAATTTTGTCCATCCGGTGTTCTTCAGCGCGCCCTGATATCGCACTGTACACATGGGCCTTTTATCACTTTGTCTCCACCGAGATGCGACTGCCACGGCCTGGACCACGGCCTTCGAGTCAGCAGCCTAGCACCGCAACCACTGATCTACCGAGTACTCTCGCTTTTCTGCATACGCTGTGAGGCTTCTACGGTACACAGAGTCAGTCAGCTCTGCATACTAAAAGCCTGCACCTCTTTGATGAAGGCTCCGTCATTAGACACGCCCGCAGCCGAACGAGCACAGTTACGGCATTCTCCCACGTAACTTTTCTCGCAACGGATGGCGTTAGCCGATCGTAGCTACTGACCGCGTACGAAACGTATTTCGTTTAGACACGTTCGAGCTAACCAGGAAAGATTTTCATCGAGCCCCAAATGACTCCACGTGTTGCACTCTTTCTGTTCTGTACCTGGCGGGAGCAACTTGCACACGAGCCGACCTTGACTCCGATGTTTTGACGGCGTCGCGACGTGACGGACGCCTCAGACGACGCGACTTCCGTTTGAGTATGCGTGAAAATTTACCCGCGCTCGACGACTCCCTTTGCGCGACGCTGGCGACGGCTTGAAATTCACTGCATGCATAAACGATCATTTGCGCAATCGAACCTTGCGGTCGTCATTGCCGCCGAGCCGGGATTCACGCGTGTATACGGCTCCGAATAAAAGCTTCCGAAATGTCTCGCGCCGAATGAGTGACGTCGAAACAGCACTTCACGAAGCAACGTGCCGTGTGAGTCTTCGATTATAAGTAGAACGCCGACACCGATCGAGCATTCACGCTCATATGCTGGACTGTTGGGGTAGTTCGCAGCAGTGCGTTCGTGGCTGTTCCTTGTTCAGTTTATGCAAGCGACACCTAACTCTAACGAGGGAGAGCGATTATTCTTCAGTGGAAGCAGCGCACATGGGACGGGGATGAAAAGATGGGTTCACAGGACGGGCGTTGTTGCCATTTCTTCGTCCTGGTCCCGTGTGGCTGCTTCAATGCAAGATAAACGCCTACCAACTCGCTCAAGTTTCTATTTTCTTATATTGTGACTCAGTTCTCTCCGACAACATCATGAAATTGTATTGCGCATGCTACTGTTTTATTGGGGTACCCGCACCCACGGAAACTACAGCGCTGTTTACAAAATCGAACTGACTCTACAACATCCGCGTTTACTCGGTCCAGTGCAAATCATCTCGATGTTGTGATAACTGTTGGGTGTGTACGTCCCAAAACCTCGATATTATTATGAGGAGGTACGCTGCAGTGTAGCGCTCCAGAAATGGTACGTCTGGTGTTATTTACCGCACACTTCTGTGTAAGTACTCGGACCTTAAACGTTTTCGCCTCAATCCAAATGCGACCGCCATGGCCGGGATTTGAACCTGTGACCTTCGATTCAGCAGCAGAACGCCATAACCACCAGGGCACCAGGGAGGGTAGCATGTCGAGGTTGCTTACATAGAGTCCTTTGCTGTCGAGCAAATGACGCTGATATCGAGGTCCCGAGAATGATTGTCGCAAACCGTCAAGAGTAGAACGTATGCAATCTTAGAGGCCTATCACCTCAAGTGTCCATTCAGAATCCCATCGTAGTCGACCTCTCATTGATGCTTTCAAGTGACGCAAAGCGTCGCCACTTGTCCTTTGGGAAAGTTGTCAGCGGGCCAACTGTTGACCGTAGGTTATGAGATGGGCGGCAATTTGGTTGGCGTCTCGCAGGCTTTTTGCTCATTATATCTATAATGAGCAAAAAAAAATTGCCCGCAGCTTCCCTCGGGGGAACACTGAGGAGGATGCGGAGCATATAATTGGTTAACGGGGTGTTAAAGTGCGACTTACTTGGGTCGATGGCTAAATTGGTTAACGTGGTTGTGAAACGGGGTGTTAAATTGCGACTTACTTGGGTCGCTGGCTAAATTGGTTAACGTGGTTGTAGGAGGGGTGTTAAATGAGTGAACACGTACGACACGTATGCGAAAGGGCGGTGTTTATTTATTGCGACGAACTTTGAGCACGATGGCTTTTAGATGCCACTTTGGCCGGCGCTGGCCGAAGGGACGTCGATCATTGCGACCTCGGACGTCGACGCGCCGTACAAACCAACCGACGAGCGGCAACTGAGCTAGCGAGCACCGACCTTTAGTATATATACAGCGCGACGGCGCATGCACTGTCAGCTGTCGAATGTTCGAGAAGGGGGAGAAGCGCAACGGCGCATGCGCGCGCGTCAGCTGCCGATGTTCTCGAAGCGCGACGGCGCATGCGCGCGCGTGAGCTGCCGATGTTCTCGAAGCGTGACGGCGCATGCGCGCTACATTATACAGCTAGCGAATGTTCGTGAAGAGGAGAAGCGCACGCGGTGTGTAGAGGAGGAAGGGTGCACAGATGGTGGAGGAGTGAAGCGCGCGCGGTGTGTAGAGGAGGAAGGGATGCACAGATGGTGGAAGAAGGAGGAGGAAGCTTGCGGACGGCGCCGCACTACAAGCCTCGAGTATTAGATGCTCCGCATCTAAAAGCCTATAACGCCAAGCATACGACGTTTCTTCGGCGCGTTCTTCAGTTCTGTCGTGCTGGTTGGGTATGCATAACAAGACATGCGGCGTGCTTACTATTGAGTTGAGCATCAACCACGCTTTGGTCGCTTACTCAGCCTCGCTCAATGGTTATACGCCACGAGTAGCGATTAACGCTCTCTAACCATTCGTTGGCACAATAGCTTGGTGCGCGTGCTGAAGGATAGCTTCCCATTGCTGACATCAACGTCACAATCACCACCACCTACACGGTATGCGTAAATAATGTGCGGAATTAATAGTCCATCAACGTCGGGGCGCAATATACATTTGCTTAACGGCAATATTTAGCCGGATGCCTGACAAAATAATACGAATAAGCCAATACGGCGGCAATAAAAATGCCATTAATTTGCTTTTCCACTGATCCCTTTGGTCAAACGCTCTATAGCTGGCTTCTAACGCATGTGAGCGATGAGCGTAAGGTCACTTATGCACTGCAAGTAGTTCACTGTTTAAGTCACGCGGTCTTCAAACGCGGCATTTAGTCGGTCCTTTCAAGTCCTAGCCCTTTCTGTTGCTTAAGACGATGGAATAACCATTGAAAACGATGTCTGAAATGGCGGCTTATATATAAAACTGTCTGTAGGTAGTCGCTGACGCGAGGCGAGCAGCGGAAGTTTCAATCGAACAGGTTTGGTTAGCGCGAAACGCGCGGTATATAGTGTTAACTAGACGGGACAGCACCTTCAGTTTATTTTACCAGAACGTCGGCTGAAATTCAGACAATGTTTTTTGTTAGATTCGTAGCTAAGTGTTCAGAACATGCGGGTGGCAAGGAATACTAGCTGAGGTGTACTACATAGAATTATACAACCTGGGGCACAACAATGCATATGACAAAGAAAGGACTACACCCGTACTTACCGTTGATGACGAAGGCTTGGTGTAACCGCTCTGGGTAGTTGGCCTCGTACATTCGAATAAACGCGGACACCGCACTCACAGCTAGAAAGAAGCAAAAAATACGTACAGCAACTATAGGGTACCACACATACAAAAACCGATTGCAGAATAACAAAAAAAATCTGACAAGGCCATGTCGCAAAACATTATCAAAGTCCCTGAGAGAGAGAGAGAGAGAGAGAAAGAGAGAGAGAGAAAGGAAGAAGTGGGAGGTTAACCAGAAGAGGTTGGCTGCACTGTGCTTGAGAAGGAGAAAAATGGGTGTGAAAAAGTGAAAGAAGAAGAGTTTGTGACAGTCCCAAGGTATTGCTTTAGTCATCAAGCTGGTAAATACAATGGCCTGTGCCTGTACACAAGGCATACGGTGTATTGGCCATAGTGATTTCTTTACCTGTATTCATATTCAAAAACGAACACATTGCCATCATAGCGTGGCCGAGTACATTTTCGAACTGTATCGATTATGTTTGAACCCCTGTGACAAAGCCTTATAGACAGGGATACACGAAGTGTAATAGGCAATGCACATGTACTTCACGAGTTCTGCGCGGCAAAAAAAAAAGAGAAAGAAAGCTGTACTTTTTAATTTTCTAATACCTACCTTTAGACATATTTTTTTTATTCAAAAATACACATGCAAGTTTGATTCGTGTAAAAAGTGAAGTAGTGAAGTCCTCGAATCCGACGGTCAATGTCCGGTGGTCGGCCCGGCCTGAGGCTTGTTGAGCAGAGGTGACGACGACCGCTTTATTGCAAGTTCACAAATAAATGCGTGGCAGTTACATCACGGGGGGGAGCTATATGACGCATAATCACAGACCGTGTAAACGCGAGTGCTTGTGTACGCGGCTGAAAGATACAATGCACTGTACCTTCAACAAACGAACAAACAAACAAACAAACAAACAAACAAACAAACAAACAAAAAAGCTTTCTTGCCTTCGGCTGTGAGGGCTTGCAGCATGGAGAAGTTGTCAAAGTCGAAGATCACTACCTGCGTATCCACGACCTTTCCCAACTGCGAGCATGGTAGAGAGAGAGATAGATAGACAATAAAAACAAGAAAAGGTTATTACAATTCCTAACCTTCAACGTTATTTGATTGTGTTCTCCGTGGTGAATACTGCTACAGCAAGTTTCTTTCTACGAACAGAGCAAAGCGAGAACGCACACTAGTGATGATGAGGGCTGGTATGTTCAATACTGCACCGAAGAAATTCATATTCCTACCCATTGAAGTAGTCTATTACAGGCTTTTTTTCTGCATACATAAAAAATCCTCTATTTCTTTCCTGAACGGTAGTAATGCGAGTTCACGCACACACATACATATATACATTCGCAACGATATATTGAGTGTTTTACTTGTTTACCACTGTTAAAATCATGACAAGCGCTTGCACTCTTGTACAGCCCATTGATTACATGGCCTCTTGTGCTACAAGTTCATTGTTCATGCGTGTGTCTTAAGTGTAACACCCAGGGTGAACTAGTTAGAAAGAACTCCATATAATTTTTAGAAACTTCAAGGGCTATGCTTCTGTGCGCTGCATGCGCCTTAACCAATAACACAAGCCAAAGCTTGTGGAAACGTAGTGTTGCGTTCAGCATACGTGGATTTGACCATGCCTAAAATTGCCTGTGATATCGCAAAGATTACCTTTTTTTTTCCATCTGTTCTAATTGACGGCTGGAAATTCATCGAAAAAGATTATTTCTTGTATGGTGCACCAGTCGGTGAGGGAAATGTAGCAAGGAATAGTCCCTTTTGAAACGTACCACTGACACGGGACCAACACACCGTTCCAACACAAGAGCCAAAAGAATAAATGCGATAGCGACAAATCGGAACGACGCACGAAAAACAAAGTCGAAACTTGCTGCGCGTAGCCCAAGCACAAGGGCATGACCGGAAAGAACACACAAAGGACGAAGTCACAGCTCGACGCTTGCATAGGGTTACTCGCAAACAAACAAACAAACAAACAAACAAACAAACAAACAAACAAACAAACAAACAAACAAACAAACAAACAAACAAACAAACAAACAAACAAACAAACAAAGGACACGTGAAAAATACACGCAAAAGAATGCACAGTATTGCAAAGATTCTTAAATGACAAGAAGATAAAACTGAGCCCCGTAACTGCTCAGGGGGAGGACACCTCAACAGTAGCTCACGAGGGGTGGGGGTAAGGAGGGATTCAAAGGATAGGATTAAAATGTACAGAGATAGAAAGAGCAGAAGGAGAGAGTGAGGCGCAGGGTCAGCCTCATACGGAAGTGAGGAGAAGATAGGAAAAATGGACACGGTTGCAGGAGTCCGAGGACGGGGCACCACTCAGCAAGAGCTCTTGTCGGCGTCAGGAGATGGCGTAGAGCGAGTCAGTCGGCCAGGGCTGCGCTGTCGTTGGAGATAGCGGGGACACAACCAGTTGGCACGAAATACAGCGAGCGAGTCCCCGATGCACAGGACGAGCGCAAGCTAACTGCTACAGTTGCTATTTCAACTGTATCGCCTACTTTGGCTCTAGCCAGTCGCTCACTCATTTCGCAAACGCGATACGTGCAGCAAGCGAAGTGATGTTCGTGCGGCCTACAGTTTCAATGCTGCCTTTGCGGTGAAAACACGCAACGTATAACCCCCGTATCCTACAGTGTCCCTACACTTAACGCTTCACCTTGGCGAGAAAGTCGACGGAGCGCCATCTCTATTCAGACGGTGTAACTGCACAGCAGGAATAATCTGCAGCGATTCCTGAGAAGCACAGCGTCGTTTTGAGTCGATAAGCGACGCAGTGCTCAACACTGCCAAGTGAAGGACGAAATTCGAATTGACGAGCGTTTGTGAAGGCCGGGGTAACCAAATCTCCCCCCACGAGAAATAAGCTCTCGAGAACCGGCCACCATGACCCGTGTGTCAAAGAACAAGTTGAAGCGCACATTGACCTTCTGGGCTATGGCGTCCGAATTTACTCGCCATGGGCACATGAATTCGCTGCTGTTGAACATGATACTTGGATTATGGGCACCAAGGTGAACTCGCTCGCTGTATTTCGTGCCGACCGGTTGTGCCCTCGCGATCTCCGACGTCAGCGTAGCTCTGGCCTACTGGACTTGCCCTACACCATCTCCTGAAGCCGACAAGAGCTCTCGCCAGTGGTGCCCCGTCCTCGAACTCCTGCAACCGTGTCCATCTTTTCTTTCTTCTCCTTACTTCCATCGTTCGCTGTCTCTGCGCCTCCCTTTCTCCTTCATCTCTCTCTATCTCTTTACCTTTTAATTCTATTCTTTTAATCCCTTCTCTACCCCCCTACCTCGAGAGCTACTGCTGAGGTGTCCTCCCCTGAGAGACAATTACGGGGCTCACTTTTCTATTCTTTTCATTTAAAATCAACCCCCCCCCCCCAATGGCACCAAGGATCATCATTATCGTCATCATCATTGTCAGCGAGTATGTCCGCATTAAGTAGCGACAGCCTTCCGCTTCTTCCTCCTACTATTTGCTTTACATTGCGGGAAGCAACATTTCCCGGTATTCGTGAAGTGAATAGGCTCACCTTTTTGGACTGTTCTTGCATCTTCTTTATACCCTGCTCGCAACGCCATGCCATGTACGTGAGGATCTCCTTGATTGTGCAGCCTCGAAGGAACGCTGAAGGAACAAGAGTGAGTAACGTTACACCCAGGGCTGTGTCGGTGACACGCAGCTACGCTTGTTCCCTATGATCAGCGGGCACGCTGATCTCAAGGAACTTTGAGTCGTCTTGAGCGAGTGCATAAGGAACACTGCAAGTTTTACTGCGATAGCAAATATATTAGCAGTGTCGGCTGGTTTTTACCGTTGCCAACGCTGCCGTCAAGCACCGTATATGTATACGTATGTAACCACACAGGAAAAACGCAAGAAAGAAAGAAAAAAGTCACAGCTTTGCCACAAAGGTAAAGAAATGAACGCGATAGCAACAAAGTGCAAGGTCACGCGCTGAATGACAAGCAGATCGAAACGTGCCCGCGTTTCTCATGCCCAAATGACGCACGAAACGTACTCACAAGTACAAATGAACGCGAATAAGCGTCTCAGTTCTTACTTCGCTGTGTCTGAAAAACGCACCATTTTGTGCAACGATTTCAATGAACTTGGTGCACCTGGTAACTACAACAAAAAATTTCTAGTGAAAGCCCGATGCCAGCCAAGACGTACGATTATTCCCCCCCCCCCACCACGAGATAAGGACGCACGAGAGTGCCTTCATGGATGGATGGAAAAACTTTATTTCGTCAGAAAGCAACTGAGGATGATTCCGTGTTAGATGGCCATCAACCCAAGGTTGGCGGCGACCTGTGTGGCCCACTCCACGACCCTTAACTGGACGACTGGGTCTGAGCTGGTCAACACGGCCTCCTAGTGCTCAAGAGAGGGATCACGCATAATATCCACCGGCGGCGGCACTATGCTACATTCCCAGAGTATGTGATCATATGTTGCCACAGCCTGACACCATTTGCATTGCGGCTTAATCTCCTTCGGGTACATTTTGTTCAACACGTAAGGGTTGGGAAAAGATCGCGTCTGCAGTTTTCTCCACACGCATTCCTGCGCCTTAGTCAACCGCTTGTGCGGGGGCGGATAAAACCTCCGCTCTAGTTTATAATGATTCGTTATGTCATGAAAGGACACCAGCCCATCTCTCCGGACCTCCCCGGAACTGGCGGCTCACCTACCCGGCTGACGAAACCTCGAGCATTCAGGTGAGCCGCCTCGTTCCCAGGGTTCCCAGAGTGTGCTGGTACCCAGACAATTTCTATTTCTCTCATTTCTCGTCCCGTGACCCCATGCAGAAATCGTGCGGTGGTCGCCGATATTCTGCCCCTCGCCAGATTTCGGATGGCTGTCTTTGAATCACTGAAAATCAAATCTGACTGCGAATTAGTTATAGCTAGCGCTATTGCCGCTTCCTCTGCAGTTTCCGAGGAGCGGGTTTTGACCGATCCAGAAGCGATCAAGCGCCCCCGCCTGTCCACCACCACAATCACAAAAGCGTTTTTGTCCTTATATTCCGCAACATCTGTATAGACTGCCGCTTTGTACTCGCCGTACTCAACGTGTAAAGCTCTGGCTCTTGCCTGCCTGCGCTGCGTATGGTGAATCGGATGCATATTTTTGGGTAAAGGTTTTATGTACAGGGCCTTATGTAACTCTCGCCGCACCTGAATTTTAGTGTCCCCAGTGGGAGCCTCTGCTTCAATGCCAATCCTTTCCAATATAATCCTGCCCGCTTTGGTTGTCGAAAGCCTAGCGTGCTGCATCACCAGATGCGCCTCCCATAATTCATCCAGGGTGTTGTGTACCCCTAGTTTTAACAGCCTTTCTGTAGGCGCGTTGTTAGGCAACCCAAGCGCTGCCTTGTAAGCTTGCCGGATCATAGCCTCGACCTTACCTTTTTCTGCGGCATCCAACTTCATATAAGGTGTCGCGTAAGTAATCCTGCTGAGCACAAACGCCTGTACCAGCTTACAGAGTTCTTTTTCTTTAACCCCGCTCTTACGGTTAGCGATTCTTCTGATTAACCTGACAGTAGCATTGACCGTGGTCTTAAGTTTTTCAAGGGCCACCCTATTCTTCCTGTTAGTTTGCAGATATAGGCCAAGAATTCTAATCGTTTGAGCTTCAGCTACCGGCCTACCCCCTACCTTTACCTCTAATGGCGGTGGCGGAATATAGTGTCTTGCATGTAGCCCCCTGGGTTTGTCCCGAACCACAAAGAGCTCGGACTTTGGCTGAGAGCATGAAAGTCCCACCTCCCCTGCCAACTCTTCGACAATATTAACTGCCTGTTGCAGTGTTTCTAACAGATGCGCGTCACTACCCCTGGTTACCCATAGAGTAATATCATCTGCATAAAAAGTGTGTTTGAGTCCCGGTATCTCCTCCAGCCTCGGCGGTATTTTAATTAAGGCGATGTTAAACAGGAACGGTGACAAAACTGAACCCTGCGGCGTCCCTTTGCCTCCCAACGCGTATGAGTCCGATTTGATATCTCCTATTGAAATTTCTGCGGTTCGGCCCTCCAAGAATGATCTGATGTAGCGAAATGTCCTGACCCTTGGGCCAATTTTCGATAGGTTATTCAATATTGCCTCATGCGAAACATTGTCGAAAGCTTTATTCAGGTCAAGCCCCAATACAGCTTTGGTGCCCGTGCCATGCCCGGGATTGACTACATCATGTTTTAACTGTATCATGACATCCTGTGTGGACAAATTGGCCCTGAAACCTATCATAGTTGGGGGAAAGATGGCCTTGTCCTCTGCATAATTCTGAAGTCTGTTGAGAACCACGTGCTCCATCAATTTGTCCACGCATGATGTCAGCGATATGGGGCGCAGGTTTTCCAAGCAGAGTTTCTTGCCTGGCTTCGGAATAAATATAATCCTAGCATGCTTCCATTGTGCTGGGATCTCCCCGGCCACTTAATACTCATTTATCAAGTCAGTGATCGCCCCGACCGATTTGAAATCTAGGTTTCTCAGCATTTTATTAGTAACTCCATCCGGACCTGCGGCAGACGTAGTACGCAGCTGCCCCATGGCAAACTCCACCTCTGCAATTGTGAACTCTTCATCTAGGTCTGAGTTTTCCACCCCCGAGTAGTGTGGTAAGCAACCATCTACTCCATCAGTTATGTACCGATTCCGGAGTTCCTGTATAAACTCTCCAATTGCGCCTTCATATTGATGCATTAACCAAGTCATTTGCCCCCGTTGCGCCGATTTTGTTGCTGCCGGATCCAAAAGATGCCTTAACAGCTGCCATGTCTTTTTGCATCCAAACTGTCCATTCATGCGATCACAAATCTGGCCCCACTGCTTGGCTTGCAACTCAATTGTATAATTTTCGATTTTACGTTCTAACTTGGCAGTCCTTCTACGAAGGACGCCATTATGTTTTTGCTTCTTCCACCTTCTCAAGAGACTCGCGTGCGCTTCCCACATGTGTAATAGTCTCGAGTCAGCGGTAAACTCCTCCTGCTCGACTGGCACTTCTACCGTGGTATTACTTACATCCTCCTTGAGCGCCTGTACCCATGCATCCAGGTCATTAATTTTCCCGTTTACAGTGTCTGCTCTGTTTTTCCTAAATCTGTCCCAATCTGTAATTCTATGCCCCCTCACTTTGTCTTTATGCTTCGTGAAAAGGATATAGTGATCACTTTCTAGCGCTTGTCCCGAGTTAATCCACTTTGCATTACTGATGCCTCTAAAAAACGTAAGGTCTGGGGAGGTATCCATGCTTACGCTGTTGCCTATCCTCGTATGATCTTGTGGATTGTTTAACAGCGTCCATCGCAGATCCCAAGCAACTTGCCAAAGCCGATTGCCCTTTGGGCTGGCTCGAATATAACCCCACTCCGGGTGAGGCGCATTGAAATCTCCTACCACTATAAGCGGAGCGCGAGCTGCTAACCGTTGAGTTTGAATCAGGAGTTGTGGCAAGCCCAATCCTTTATCTTTTGGAGAACTATACACATTAAGTAAAAACAGACTCTTCTCATACTTTCGTTTAGGCAAAATCTCAAGCAAGACATAGTCTTCCCTGCTGCTATCTACGGAATGCTGAATGGCAGTGATGTTGCGATGGACTAGCACGGCTGTGAAGACGCGTGATACGCCCCTTGAATCAGTTCCTGGCGCTGTAAATGCCTTAAATCCAGGTAATTTTACGAAACCACTAGCCTCCTGTAAGGCTATTATGTCTGGTTTACTGTCCAGATTTTGTACGTGCAACTGCAGGTTAGCCCGCTTTTCACGAAAGCCCCTGCAGTTCCACTGCCAAACCTCAATTTGCTGGCGAGGCGCCATGATGAGGCACCAGGTTCACTAATGGCACTTGGCCACCCACGGGAGGCAGTCTTGCCTCCAATAGAGTATGAAGCTGCTGAAACATGCCCATGACCTGGGTTTGGGAATCCTTAAATTCAGTGGAGAGCATGCCGAGACGCTCCTCTATTGTGTCTAATCTGGCTTCGATCTTTTCGACTCGAGCCTCCAACCTATCCTGTCTTTTCCCTTGTTTGCCTACTTTATCCGCAAGTGTTGTTACATCCGACTTAAGACTAATGACCTTAAAACAGGCTGTGGCATGTCTACTGGTGACGTTTCGGCTAATCGTTTTGCGTTAGCTACCTCATCCCCCGGCAGTGGTCTCTTCACTGTCCCCCGATTCTCCACTTCCATAGCTGCACTCTCCTGTACGCGAGCAGACGCCTCTTGCGTCGCTTTCTGTAGTCCTTGCACTGCTGGTGCCTGTGTCCCCTGCCGTTGGTCGTTTCTATGTGCGCGTTCCATCTCTGCAATTCTGTTTTCCATTCTTTTAATCAAGTCTCCCTGTCGCTGAACCAGCGCTGCTAACTCCCTCTCTCGAGCGGTTTCGTTCTGGGAGGCCGTGCCTGACAAGCTCACCTTTTAGATGCGGAGCATCTAATACTCGAGGCTTGTAGTGCGGCGCCGTCCGCAAGCTTCCTCCTCCTTCTTCCACCATCTGTGCGTCCCTTCCTCCTCTACACACCGCGCGCGCTTCACTCCTCCACCATCTGTGCACCCTTCCTCCTCTACACACCGCGTGCGCTTCTCCTCTTCACGAACATTCGCTAG